TTTTCTCCTTGCAAAACTATACAAATGCGTCATTTTAACACTATTCAGATGTTTCATTAATGTGTTTTAGATTGATTGGGAGAATTTGTATAACTTAGTTTAATTAAAAAAATGGCCCTTTAAGATACATCATCTGTAAATAAAAACACAAAGTCGTTCATAAATTTTGTAAAAGAAGACTCTGAAAACAGTCAAACAGAAAGATCTTCTTTTGAAAAGAAGCTATATTTATCCCTGAAACTTCACTTGCCGTTTCAAAGATTACACCTTTTCACTGTTTAATTAAAGCATGACAGTAATATTTTTATCCACGTAGAAGTGTAAAAAATGTGTGAGGTTATTCCGAGGTTTTTAGCAAATTTACTCCTGGTTCTGAGCACCTCATACATAAGCGTCATATTTAGGAATACATTTTGTTCTTTTTATTTGTAGATATGGCTGTTCCAGCAGATACCATGATTATATCTGTTCTTTGTATTGTATAAAGTGCAAAAAGAGACAGAGAAGAAGGATCAGGAAAATCTATTGACATAATATGTAGCAATATTTTAATTGTAACTTGATATTCAGGTGGTACCAAACATCTTGGTTAAATTGATTTGGCTCGTTTCATTTTCGTTAAATAACAAACTATTAACTTTGGCCCTTTGACAGAAATATAAAAATGTAAAACACATGTTATCGAGAAAAAATAAATATTATTGGATATACAGCAGTTTGACTATCACTAATGTTTAGCTGCTTGATATTGTCTTTACAAAAGAACGGGATTAAAACTTTCAGATTTTTGCTTAGTTATCTCCCTTGTGTAATATGTATGAAGCATTCTTATACATAAACTTGAAATTCAGTATAATAGTTTAAATATCTTTGCGAACTCTGTAGTTTGCACTTTTGAATGTATACATGGGCATATCAAACTAAGAGTTTCGAGTGCTGAAGTTGAAATCATCCCCATCGCGATGTGTTTGACCGTTGTAGAATATCCCTTTCACAGATTGTAGTGGATATGTTCCTAATGTCGTAACAACAAGCCCGTCCCTTTTCACAAATGTTACTCACCGAATTAGACTTATTACAAGGTTTTTACTAACATTGCTGTTCTCTTTAAATAAAATATCCTTGCATCTTCCTTTAGTAATGTCTTCATTCTTTAATAATGACCCCAGTGATTCATGTTCTATGTTTTTGTTGTATGCACTTTTATTTCTCTTAATTTTGTGGAGCAACCTTGTCTACTAGTAGATTATAACTTTTGTTGAAATCACCTGCATATTTCGTATTCTATTCGAAGATGGTGTGATTATGACGTCACGAAGTATCGATATCAAAGGCAAAATGATGGTCTACTTGAAGTCTTTTTAAGAGAGTTTGTCAACACGACAACATGTGTATGGATGGAATAACACACTAACTATTGATTTTAGTTACTACACATAATTGATGTTTGATAATACATGTTTTGTGTCTTTGTTTCTTGTGATACTAAATTACAAATTAATCTTTTTTGTTTTGAGAAAATGTACCTATTTCACCATTGTTATGCCAGTGTATGTGCTTAGTGCATGTTTAGAAATTTAAATGTAGGATACCACTAATAGCTAAGAACAAGAGAGTGATTTGAATTGCATTGATTTTTTTTATTTTTCAGCCCAGATCTGGCCAGTATTCATAATGCTAACGAGATTATATTTTCTTATTCATTTACATCTAAATTGAAGAGCTCTTGTCCCTGGCTTAGAGTGTTTATTCAGTGCATGCCCCCAAAAAAAAATTCAATTATCATGATAGTAATTAAATAAAACGTTTTTCGATTGTTTTTTTTGGGAAAATAAAAAACATGAAAATTACAGCAGATTTCTCTTTCAGAAAGTTATACATGTGTCGGATTGCATTTTTCAAAAACATCACAGAAAAGAAGGCAATTTTAATTCTAATATAATTGTGGTAACTCAAACATACCGAGGGCGGGATGGGGCGAGTTCGTCGACGATAAATGGACCTTGGTTGATTGATCGATTTATATTAGATACATATATACTTTGATATGCTGTAACATTTAAAGTTGTAATTAGGTAATATGTAGATTAAATAATTTCAGGGGCATTGAAACCGCAAAAAAAATGTCGGATATCAATTTGACAAATACTGTTATTCAAATTATAACATTTGCGACCAATTATTTGTTAAATTGATGTGTCTATATCTCTTTCTGAGTAAAAGCATATGAAGCCAATGTCAAAATAAAAAAGACTACCTTGGTCTCGTTTTCGTTTTTTTTGTTGTTCCTGGACTATAAATATGAGGGCTCTAGATATCTATCAATTAATGATTACAAGATATAGAAACATATCGATTACATCATAGAAATTAGGAGAAATAACTTTCGTATGGAATATCAGGATTACTCTGGTCATATTTGTATTCGAAATCCTGAAGATGTTATAAGCATTTTGCCAAAAAAAACGTATTTGTCAGTATCGTTTACGGTTGCGAAGGAGTAGCGATGACAAGAACAACTGAGATATCTCTGATGATAAGTCTACGGTTATGCGGTGTTAGCTTGAAAGATGTAAAAAGCATACGAACTGGTCGATCTGTCTTTAAAAGAGAGACAAAAGATACCAGAGGGACAAACAAACTCATAAAACCAAAAAAAAAAAAAAAAAATACTGACAACGAACACTGTTTCCTCACTAGTAATCATATCTTATATCTTTCTTTTCATATTGGATATGCATTGATGATTCAAATAATAAACTGGAAAAATAACAAATACATTCAGTTTTCTCTTTACGGAAAAACATTCTAACGATAGTATTGTCTTTTGTGATATCAAATAACAAATGTCTACACCTTGACAAAGTCGGCTTCTATAGGTCCTATTTTGGTTGATACTACTACGGGTGAAATGTTAATCAGCGAAAGGTCATTATCTCAATAGTCAGTGATTCGTAATTGACATTGTTTAAATCATACCCATTTTAGAAGTCTCCATTGATAAGTCGAGGTTTAGGTTTCAATTCTTTCACTTGACCTTTGATAAAGATTTATCTTCAAGTCTATTTTGTCCATACAGCTATGCACAGTTTAAGATTATTAAACATGCTTGGATTTGAAATGTTTGAAGTTGATAAATGTGATACATTGTCAAATGACAAATTTATGTCGGTATTATTGCATGGTTTCATAAGAAAACAGTCAAATGAACAAACAAACAAACCGACTGATATATTGTAAGATGCAGGCCTAGACATTTAGTTTATTCACATTCGAAAGTCATCAATAGAAATCAAACTGACATTACCATGGAAAGAAACCAAAAATTAATAAAAAGACAATCAACTGCACATATGGTAAAAAGCTCCTTCTCAATCATTGTTTTAATAAATATAATACTTCATTTTGATTAAAAACATCAATCCTTATTAACTTACAGTTGTATTATATTCCTTCTGGCATTTACATATTGAACGGTGGACATGAGTCGAATGATTCGAAATGAACAGATTTGCCTTGAGATACATGTAGGCGATTTCTAATTTCTCAAACAGATAACGGAAACATTCATTTTTAAAAGAACATCGACGTTTCACCGGTCAATAAACTAAAAAACGTACGATATTATACATGTTATACTGAACATCCCATTTTATCCCGTTTAACCGTACATTTGAAGAGGGAACATGATGACACAAAATGACAAGGTTAGTATCACTGCAATGTATTTGATGTTGGCGGTTCATTTTCACATCTAAATGTAATTTTTATGGAAAGATTTCATTAAATTTACCAAAAAAATGCTTATCAAATAAGTTGTTTTAATAAATGTTAATTATATTTAAAACGTCTATCACATCAATTGTCAGATTTAAATTTGACATTTAATTTCCAAGAACTGAATATTGATCACAAATGATTAAAAAACACTTGATATAAATCAACTATGCTCGAACAGCTGATTTGGACAGATCATTATAATTTATATCCATCAAAACAGATACATCACTGTTTTCAGACATATAACACTTCCTTGGTCATCAAATATCAGTCCCTATGAACTTACATTGGTACTTGTATACCTTTCTTCGAAAAAAAAACAGGTTCACCCTAAGAAACACGTGGGTTGACTTTCTGATTTGTCAACATATCACGGAAGCATATATTCGAATAAGACATCGATGTTTAATAGTTAAACCGTAGGATTCAGGAGAAGGTCAACACACTAAAAAACATATGATATCATAGTGAACATTTCATTTTTCATAAATCTGAAGAGAGTTCATGATGGCACAAAATTATAAGGTTAGTTTTAATGTATTGATTTTGTTGTTGGCTGTTCATTTTCATGACAGAACTTCGATTACAATTGCAAAAGTGTATCACCACTATGTCTTATTGCAGTACTGTAAGCTTGTGAAGAATTTCCCTTTTTCAATAGTCTAAATTATGAATGATCAACAAACGGTACTTAAAGTTTAGACCATATTTGGACGAAGACTTATTTTAGATGCCTTTGTGATGAGGAGCTATTGCTGTGATAAAAGTACCAACATTTCAAAATATTCCATCCTGTAAATTAATGTAGCATGCAATTGAGGGTTCTGCCCTTTCACTAACTCATTTAAAATCAGAGGAATTTCGTATATATTTATTCCTGTTTATGGCGTTCTAGTATTATATTCACTGCAAGAATGGAGTTCATGATTATATTGCAATGAAAGTATCAAAGTTTCTTCAACAATTTATAAAAAAATTCCGATACATTGGTATCCTAACAATAGTGAGAAATATATTTCTCAACAAAATGTATTACTTTATTTTTTTTCATTTCTGTGGTTACATTTTTACTTCGAAGTGTGTAAAGTTTTATAGATATTCTAAATGTTTAAACAAAAACAAAAAAGATGCAAAAATAACTTTTAAAAAGCCTGCTCCCTGGTGGTAGAAGTCCTTTTGCTTTTTTATAACATTTTTCAAATCTTTAAATAAAGTTTTATTTTGCCGTAACGCACACGGCTATGATAAAAACAAAAGGTTTTTGTATTGTTTGAAGTGATCAGAAGAAAATTTGTTTTACATTTTGAGGGAAATTTCAATACACAAAATGTAGTAGCACTTTCCAAAAATGTGCTTGCTTTAAACGCATTTTCTTCTGAAGGCAAGAAAATCATGATTTTTGTTTACTTTGAAATAATACCAAATTGATTTGTAATCGTTTAACTTGATCATTTGATGACTTTTGATTGCAGAAAATGGTCAGATAATTATGTTGCTACCAATTAATTAATAATGTTTAAATTCCAGAAACACATCTTTCAGTGCACATTGAATTCTTTTTAAACAGCCAAACATATAATTGGGGCTGGTATAGCTATACGGTATGGGTTTGTCTCATGGTTGATGTCGTACGGTTGCTTATAATTGCTTACATCCATTTCAATTAATCTTGGTGGATATTTGTCTCATTAGCAATCATACCATATCTTAAATGATCATGTAACCAAATACTTAATTTGCTGAGCAGTATTATGTTGAATGCATTTTAATTCATTGCGTCAATAAATTGCTTTAAAAACTTAAATATCACATACTTTTATGTTCTCTTTTTCAGCTTATATTTATAGTACTGATCGTGGATTTCCTTCCACTATGTGTAAGCTTAGTATTTCAAAATGCTGAAGAAGAACGGCCAAATTTGTTAGTAATTGAAGACGATGCCTGAGGTAAATGCGTTACTAATAAACAGATGTCTTTGAAAATGTATAATTCCTATCAATGTCAGTATTGGTGACTTCAACATACTCATATATTATAAATATTGTACATTTAACATGCTAAAGAAGTAGTATTTCCGCGCCTCTTAATACTCTTAACTAATTATCACTGTTCTGTCGAAAGAAATATAACAAAAACAACAAAACAACAAAAGAACTGCCCGTCTTGCTTTGATAGAGTACAAAAAAACAAAAACAAATGCGGAACCATGTAAACTCTGTATTGCAATTATACATTTTTATAACATATTGATATTTCTATATCATGTATATTGCAATTTACTTTTGTTGCACACTTGTTTTTTTTTTAATTCGGACAACTTTAAAATAAAACAGTAAACCATAAGCAAAATAAAATATACAAAAAGTTTTAAACACTTGTTCATAGTTTCATATTCGGAGCGCCATTAAAAATGATTTTTTATTTGTTTCATGAATTCAAATTTCAAGTGCAATGTGTTTATCATATACTTGTAATATCGACAACACGTAAAAAAATGTAAACCACACATAATAATGTCAATACAAAAATTCCAACTGAACACAACACTTTTGGTCGTTGTAATATTACCAGTAAATGCATTGATGTTTTAAACATACCAGTTCTTTGAAAAATATTTTAAACGTGACTGCTGAGCTGATCACAATAGAACATAATAATATTCTAAAGATCACACGTACATGTATGATGCATATAGATTTGAATGTGAAATCTGACACTTGACGATATACATTTATCATCCGTGATACCGGTAACGCCATTCAAGATGACTTAACACAACCAACCTTATGTTTGAACTATTTTCATCTGGTGTTGAAAGAACACTATACTAAGTAGTTATCAATTATAATCATTGGTTATTTGTATTACATTTACTCATCTTTTATTTCAAAATCCATTGCAGAAACTTTTATAGGAAACTTTTTTGGAAACGGCTTTGGATCTTTTTTTTCCCTACTTTTTTTCCAATCTTTGATTACGGTACCTATGATGGCTATGATGGGAATGATGATTCCCAGTACAACAACTAGTGTCAGTCAGGTAACTTTGACTCCAACAATGCAAGCCTTATCAACAACGCAAACCTCATCAACAACAAATAGTGAGTATTATTGACAAAATCATTTAGCTTATGTTAAGATATAACAAATGTCGGTATTCCCCTCTTGTTACCTTAATATCGCAACGGCCTCGATCTATATGTAGTATGAAGTAGTCCTTCAGTGATGTATGCACCTGTCTGTGATTCATATAGCAACAATTTTCTAGTGCGTCTATCAGAAACATTGAATAACTAAGCTATAGATGTCATAATTACATTGTCAATCTATAATGTTACCAATACATTTGGATGTGTATATCCACCTTTATTTGAAGCAAGCTTTATCGTGTCTAGACAAAAAGCACTTTTGTGTTGATATGTCTTTAATTTGTTATGCTTTATGTTGTTTACAGTTGTATACTGTGGTTATGTTTTATGTTTTTCCCCTGTTATACTGCCATGTCATTATGAGTTGGGTTTCAACTTATAAGTTGGAATATTCCTAATGATTGGTTGTTGGTTGCTTAACGTCCAGTGGCAAATATTCCATGCATGTTAAGGACGAACGATACCTTTTGAAAATTTTGCCTCTCTTTTACAATGGCCTACATGTAAATTATTGTTTTAAAACATTCACTTTTTATTTTTTTTAGTACATTCCAATGGAAGGTAGTGATAAACTGAAAATAAACTCTACTTAATAAACCGAGTTCTTTTTCTTTTTTTTTATGAAAAGTATATGTTTGCATGTGTGTTTGTGTGTGGGCGAGGGATGGGGATGGGGGTAGGTGATCGGTTTGGAGGGGACATTTAAGACAGAATATGCATTTTGAACAACTTATTACACAGACAAGACACATTTAATAAAACATCGGTCAATAAATGTTTGGTTATTTGTGTCGTTGATTACGGTCTCATTTACGTTAACACTCTATCCCAGAGTTCTTATATTCATATTTCATCATTTTGTTTTAATAGAAACATAACATGATACATATCGATAATATTACATGTGCACGAACTATTTGTGGACAGAACGTTAATTCGATATTTGCTTACTTTTCCGGAGCACCTGAGATTACCCCGGTTTTTGGTGTTGCACAGTCTTTAATATTATTTATTGTGTTTTGTAGACTGTTGCTTGTTTTTTGCAATTTGTTGTATAAATTAGCTCTTTTTCTCTCTGATGACATGTCTTTGGCAGTTTATTTTCAATTTATGATACCTCCGCCTCTTTTGTAATGCTTTTGCATTTAGAATTATTCAAAACATTGTGTTGAACGTGGTAACTTTATCTTCATTTATGTTTTTCCATTGTTTTAATTCTTTGAACTCCAATGTTGTCATATTTATAGCACCATGTATTCAAACAAATTGCCCTAATGGTTATGTGTTGCTTACTGACCAAAATGCTAGCCCTAATTGTTACCTGTATAGTGGAAATACTGAGAAATCATGGTATAACGCTTGGGTGAGTAGTTTTAAAATAGAAACAATTTAAACTCTTTATTTCGTAACATATTGATATCATATAATTTCAAATAAGTCCAATTTTTCTTTTTGCAACGAGACAGAGTACACTGACATCGCGTCTCCTCTTATGCATACGTTACCCATTATGCAAAGCCATACTTAGTCAAAATGGCACAAGTATGAATCTGACACAATGGTTGACATAACAGATTCAAAGAATATTCTGGTATTTGAATATTTAAAACTATAAGCTAAAGATCTAAATATACCGTAGCGGTAAACAAATACATTGTTGTACGTAATGGTGACCATAACTAAAGTCAACAGAAGTAAACCGCTGTTCAATAGTCATAAACCGATTAACCGAAAACAAATCAAGGGTCACAAAACGAAACCGAGGTTATAAAACGCATGTAGTGGCGATTTAAGTAGCTTATTCCTTGAAACAATTTATGTAACGAATCTAATAAAATCAGAGTAGTATGAACATACACGAGAACAACCAATTAATTCTGATGAGTATCCTCCTTAAGAATGTCCAAGTGGTATGCTACTGCTAAGATAGGGAATATTGATTATTGGGGTGTTAAAATCATCACGTTTATGAAAGATTCTAGTTTTAAATCGTTGAAGAAGGCTTCATATCCGAACAAAAAATAGATATGCAGTAGACCTTCTAGTCTCGACAGCTCACTGAGATAAGTGATAAGATAAGATTTGGGTTATTGAGTAACACGACAGCATGAACATAACGAAAGTTGAATTAAGAACATTGAAGTTTAGTTTTATGTTAACTGAATTGTCTGGGTAATAATAGTAACCAATAACTAAAAAACAATTATTTTTTTCATCGTATAAGCAGAGGTTCAAGTTGAACATATTGTAGATTATAAAGCTTAAGACAAAATAAAAGTCAAATGGTTTTCTTATATGATACAAAAACAAATTAAAACAGACATACATTCATATTAATATATCATGCTACTTATAAAAATAGGTAGTTGAAATAATGATTCACATTAGAGATGTCTTCTTTTTGCAACATTAGAGGACATGTGCCATGACTCCTGGAGCTTTCCTGTGGAACCCAAACAGTGAGGCGGAAGCCAATTCCGTACAGACTAAACTTATGCTTGGTAAGTTAAGAGTGAAATATCAATGATAATTCTTTATCGATGAAAATATACAGTTGATTGCAGACCAAGCATTACATATAGAAGCACGAAAAAAAACACGCGGCATTTACTCGCGTGCACTTCATGTAAACACCGCGTTAACTCTGCGTTTACTCCAAAATTGTAGTAAACATCAAACGTAAATGGGCGTTTCTTTCCACGTTTACCTCAGCGTTAAGGCGAAAGGAGTGCCTTCTAATTTTGTTAATAGTAAACGGGCTTTTTTCCGAGATAACATGAAACAGGTGCGTCTTCTATATTTTTATAAAGTTAAAAGATATAAGAATATGTGGTTTGTGTGCCATCATTTTCAACTGCATGGTGGCTTACAATAAATACTGGCCCAATGTTAGGACAATGACAGGATCAAAATGAAAATGCCAATAACTTTTTCTTATCACAGGATTTATCTCAGATTTGATGTGTTTAAGCTTTTGATTTTACCATTTTAATAGAGAGTTTCCGCTTTGAATTTTCCTCGGAGACCAGTGTTTTTGTGATTTTACTTTTGACATTGAAAAAAAGGAATTATGTAGATGATTCTTTTGATAAAAAGTACTTCCTTAGATGTCTGCATGAATGAACAGGTTTATCAAAATCGTCATTTTACATGGAATATATAACATGTATAATGTTGATCAACTATATCATTTATAAATTCAGTGGACAATGAATTACGGCAAATATTTTGAAATTAGTGGATTGTCTGAAAACAATGTTTCAAAGATCATATTATGTCGTCTGTTGAATTTCAAGTCTTGTAACATAGCCTACTAGTTAAATTTACAATAATGAGTATTGTTGCAATTGTTAACATATAAAACTTTCTTTTTTCTTGAAATTTTTTAGTTTTTAGTTTTATTTCTAAAAATATTTTTTTAAAGATACTAATCATTTACATTATATAAATAAGCAAGAAAAGGGTATATTTTATTCCACAAATAGTTAACTAGAAAAGAAATGGTGTTGTCGGTATTTGTTCGATTCAAAATCCTTTTTTCTACAGAAGTTTTAATTTACATTGATATAAACTACCTTCTGAAGTTACTAACCTTAACATGCTTAATATCATTCTTTTAGAAAACGAGAAATGCTGTGGGTTGGTGGCAAAAAAGACATTAATGGAAAGTTTGTATTTAAAATTGGCAATACTGGATTTGTATTGGATCAGGTACCATTTGGAGGTAACTTAAAATTTAAGATAATTACAATGAATATATATTTATATTACTATGAGCTCTTCTAAATCAACTTGCTGCTATTTTTGTCTTTTATGGTATTCATAACAATTTATATTGGGAACACCATACCACACAGGTGTGGGAAATGTACTGATATGTGTTGGTAATAACATTCAGAAATTATTGCGAGGTTTTTCTTTAATGTGAATTTTGCGACTGGGTAACCATCGCAATAATTAGAACTCGCCGATTTGACACACACAATAGTATGCAGTGTTTCTTTTAATAGTAATAATTCAAATCTTAGTCTTTGCTGTAATTTCTCTATATACTGTAATAGGGTTAAAGCGATTATACTATAGCTACTCCTCTTTACAGCTTCTGAAGAAAAATGAAATACTGATGAAATTTATACTTAAACGTGTTTTATAACTTTCCACATGTGGAGCAGAATCTTCTTACACTGCCGGTGCACCTGATGTCAACCCTTTTTTTGTGGGGTTTGTGTTGCTAATTCTTTAGTTGTTAATGTTGTGTTTTGCAAAAAAATGTTTGTCTGTTTTCCTTTTTCGCCATGACGTTGTAAGTTATTTTCTACTTACGAATTTGATTGTCAATCTGTATCTTTGTAACATGGAAGTAATTAGGACCCCCTCTAAATCAACTTATGGGACCAAAAGCCGCACCGTTATTCATACATAGATCATAACAATACAGAATATTTGCAATACCAATACAAATATCCGATAGCAGGATTTTGAAATACGTGACAACTTTTTCATAAAAGTAGAAAATTTATAACGAGGCCTTTGGATTATACTATCAATATAGGCAATATTTTTTCTATAGCATCCTATTTCACTACATAAGGGTCTTCAACGGTCTGTCGACAATGTCTTCTAATCATACAACTCTTATACTTTTCTCTCATATGAAAAAGGGAGAAGATTCAAAGAGGGCTTTCAAACAGACAACAAACATACAAAGACAAACACCATAAACTTGTTAAGGACAAACATCACTAACATAATTAGCAGTTAAAATCATATAAAAACTATTCATTAATAACTTAATCCCTGATATGAATCGGGTAGATCTGAGGAACGCTGATGGGCAACAAGTTACTGCTTTACATGTGGTACCTACAGGGTCGCAAAAGAAATTAAACATCTGGTCATAATCTGTTTCTGTTATGTCACTTTTTTTAAGACGATGCATTTATTTCTAGTAATGAATCATAGTCATATATACACTCATGATAGATACCAGGATTAAATTTTATATTTACGCCAGACGCGCGTTTCGTTTGTAACGTTCATTTTGATTGGATAACGTCACTAATTTTCATGGTTGATGCTATGAAAACATACGCGCAAGCGCAGACGAGGTATGACAGAAATTTAAATGCATGATTTGACGTGGTTTTCTGTCAGATATATTAGAATGGAGATAACAATATTGTATTTTAAGCTCAGACGGCATCAATTGGTGATTTGATGGTAGCAAATACCCGTTAACTGGCTACCGCGTCACTAGTTAACTTGATTTGCGATCGATCATCAAATCATCAATTGATGCCGTCGAAGCTTAAAATACAATACAGTTATCTCCTAAATGATAAACTTCGACTTACTGTATATGACGTACAGGGCCAAAAGTTCAAACAAATATGATGATCATTTCGAAACTAGGGTACTTCATACATCTCTTAGTTCCATATATTGTATTTGAAGTCTATAGATATAGAAAGATGTGGTATGAATGCCAATGAGACAACTCTCCATCCAAGTAACAATTTATAAAAGTATACCATTATAAGTCAAGGTACGGCCTTTAACACGGAGCCTTGGCTCACACCGAACAGCAAGCTATAAAGGGCCCCAAAAATTACTTATGTAAAACCATGCAAACGGGAAAAATAACGGTCTAATCTATATCAACGAGAAACACTTATGAAACACATAAACAGACGACAACCACTGAAACTCAGATTCCTGACTTAGGACTTATACCTTTATCAAATACCCCCGTCAGAAGTTGTGGTTTTCACAAAATTTAGGCAAACGAGGTATGAATCTTTGGTGTTGATAGATGTTAAATAATTATAAGTTAAATATATGGTCATGAAAATGAGCTATCAGCTAGCAGAAGCACGATATTTAAATTTTCAATCGTTCATGCCTTAGGTGAAAAAAATCGTAATGTCTTGCTAAAACGATATGTTTAATTTTTGTTATAGGGAAGAGAGCTTTATGTTATGTAGATGATATTACTGTACTGTTAAGTTCAGTCTTATGACACATAAACAAGAAAACACGTTTTTCAGTTTCGTTTTTGTGTCTGTTTGTTTGTTTTAATTTTCTGATTATCCATATTTTATTTTATTTTATTCACAGTTGACATGTTTTTCATGTTACAACAGTTGCAACGAATACTTTTTTTTGCAGTAAATGCGGCAACAAATGCAGGACTACAGACTTTTATTAATACTGATGGTGAATGTTTAGTCCTTTTCATGTTACAACAGTTGCAACTATTACACTTTTTTGCAGTAAATGCGGCAACAAATGCAGGACTACAGACTTTTATTAATACTGATAGTGAATGTTTAGGAATGAGTCCTATCTTTGTTGGGTCTCTGGTTTGGTACTGGAGACCAAGAACTTGTTCTGTTACTGCGTCATTCGTTTGCGAATATCCAAGAGTGAGTTTGACTCATATTTTTATTATAGGACTTAAACATTCTCTTTTCTCGTTGGCAAAAACATGTCTTCTTTAATAAAAGATTATACTCACCGCGGAAAACATCATGATAGGTTATTATCAGATTTAGAACATCTAACGTGTAACAAAAATAAAATTCCCTAGGTAAGGTCAATAATGTAGGCTCATGACGTCATGCACAATTTTGATTTTTGTCTCATTTTTGTCGATGTCAATTTTAAGACATTCTCTTATATATTTTTAACTTATGAAACGCAGATAATATATAAAATAGAAAAAGTGTAGTTACATATCTTGAGCAAATACTAGAAATTGGAGCGTATTATAAACTAAAACAATTGTTATCCTCGGTGAATGCCATATATCTGGAGTTTATAAAAATCGCTGTATCGATCCAATCAAAAGTAACTTATCAAAATGAATATTTTTTTCATATCATAAAGTTATATATTCTTGTTTTTAATGTTCTGAGAAAATATTATCCAAGATTCAGAAAGTCGTACAACATTTTGGGGTTCTATTACAGAGTTTTTTTATTGATATGACTCGTGTGACGATTTATACATGTACAAATACGTCATTATCAAATACTGAGGAATACGCTTCAGTGGATGCATGTTTGAATTTCAAAATACTGTGGATTCACTTACTTTTTGTGGGTTCCAATTTTCTTGGATAAAGGAACACTTTTCGTGGATATCTGAATTCGTGGTTTGGCCAAGTCCGCAAAAAAACCAAGAGAACATGTGCTTTTCATTGAACCTTTAACTACGTGGTTCATCTGTACCAACGAAAGTTACGAAAATAGGTATGCATGGGTACATTGTTTTTTTGTAGAATTGATGACAACTTAGAATTATCGTGCATATTTGATTTCGTAGTTTTGACATATTCTGTTTGCGTTTTTATGGATATTTTCGTAATCCGTTGAACATTTAAATTCATGGTTTCCCTGTGCCAGTAAAATCTACGAAAATTGGTATCCAATGCATAATAATGAATCCACAATCCGTAAGATTAAATAAAATGCATATTCTAATTAATAACTAGATGAAATTACACGAATACGTACATGTATATTAGAAAAATACTTTGAAAGTTGCCAAACATTTAACATTATCGACGATACTATTAATTTCAAAAGTAGTTTATCCTTATAACATATGTAAACAATAATTGATTTACTAGATAATTGGAATCATCCATTTTCCTTGTATATCACCTTCTCATGTATTTGAATATGTCTCATTGATATAGTCTTTTCGTTCATTTTATGTAGAAATTATGTGTTTTTTTTCGAACATTTTTTTTATTCAAATAATTGTAATTCTTTCCAGATTATCAAAATATGTGGTGGCTCTTTAAAATGTCATTGGATGACAATACTCTTTTAAACTATGTAGATACTTGACTGTAACTAAGGACAAACCGAAATGATAACATCTTCTATTTATCAAATTTAAACATTTTGACAAATGGAAAGTCCTTAATTAAAAGTCTAAATCAAAAGATAAAACATATCAAACGAATGAAGACAAATGTTATATTCCTGATTTAGAACAAGCATGTAGAAAATGGTTGATTAAACCTAGTTTTATTGCTAGCTAAACGTTTCACTTGTATGAAAGTCGTATTTCAGCGTCTGGTGCATAAATTCGGTGCCGAGACTTATACCGCGACATTTTAAAATTGTAAAAAAACCTTTTGTGGAATATTCGGTGAAGAATTTTTTTTGTTTTATTTAATTTTATTAATTGTTTGTAGAATATATGGACTAACAATTAATATGTTGTGTATTTTCAGAAGATTTGTCCTTAGATATAATGTACCCTGCCACCGAAGCGCTTCACAAAAAGACGATTGTTTGGTTCATTAAAATCTTTAAACTGACTTATCTATTTCAGTCTGTTTCTGTAATTAGTAACTGATATTCTATAAGTCTCCCTCAAACTAACGTTACGTCTGTAAAGCTTTCAACGAAATATACATCAGATCCGATGCATATAAACTGAATATAAACATATTAAAATGTATATATTATACATTGTTTTTAATTTACATTTTATCTTCATATGTGCATCTGTGTAGATGTAAAATAACTTAAGATACATACTAGCTGTGTATATAAATCTTTACAGATATACAGTCTGATGTATAGTTTATATGCATTTCGATCAAAGAACATTTTTGTACTGTTTTTCAGATAGTATAAATAAGAAGATGTGGTATGAGCGTCAATGAGACAACTCTCAATCCAATACAAAATTTGTAAAAGTTAACCGTTATAGGTCAAAGTTAAGTTTATATGCAATGTAATACATCTCAATAAAGATTGCTTGTACTTGAGCAGTTTTGAAATGGATATTTTATTGGTGTCTCTTGGTTTCTATCCTCTCGAATGTTTTTTTCTCATTTGAGTCTAGTTACGTTTTTAATAATATTAGCAGGTCTTTCTATTTGTCCATGATATAGAACAGGATGTTTTTTGGCTTTTGAATCTGTGTAATCTTAACCGAATGCTTTTCTTTTTATTGTAACCTCTCAGAATACCGTTTTTGTGTGATTGATCTTCTTAAACATAACTGATTTATTTTTTCAAATTGCTCTTACATCCTCAGGATTTCGAAAAAAAAATGTAACCAAAGTAATCAGTAGATACCATATGAGAGTTCTTTTCTCTTATGTTTTTGATACGAGCAGTAAATGATTATAACTCGTAAACCTTAACTGAAGCATAACTTGATCTTTTCAATTTGAGGTTAATGATCCAGAAAATAGATAATGAGGTCAAGGTGTTTCTAATTATGACTTTTAACATATGCTTCATTTTTTAAACAGACTACAAGTATATATGAATATACATGTATATATTGATATTAAATGACTGAATAATAGCCAATGATAAATCTTACGGGGCGATGGATTATTTAATAATGATACATTACACTACAAAATATAATATGTGACAAGATTAAAAGGGCACAACATCACCACAAAATAATGATAATATGAACAAATGTAAAATATTTCGGAAAACAGATATCCTTCATCAGTATGATTATGAAGTAAAATGAATCATATCAATCTTGAAATTTTTACAATAAAACAGCTAAAACCGATCATCATAGTTTAGACGCTTGTACAATTCTAAAATTTAAAGCATGACGAAGGTTATATAGTTTTTTACAACAGAGACTGCAAAGATATGCTTTAAATAAAAACAGTAATGTGCGATATGAACTGATACAACTCTAAAATTTCAAAGATGACGACAATTAAGGCGTTACAACAACGATTGCTTGGAAATACATTCCCAATAAACAGCACTGATTAAAGCTGGTATAATATTTCAAATTTGTAATTTAATTTTGACTAAGGTTAAATAATTCAATTACTTTTCGTTTGTTCCTTAACATGTTAAGGCCTGTTCCCAAGTTTTAAACCAAGGATGTGGGCTCTTAATTCCTTTTTCTTTTGTTCATAGGAGACTCAGTCCCCTGTGTTGAAACACAGAGCCATTATATCAAATCTTTTTTTGTCTGAATCTAGAGGCATATTACCATTCTTTTTAATTTTCAGCAAAAGGTCTAGGCCCTCAATTCCTTTCTGCTGGTTACTTGAGGATCGGTTTCACGTGTTAAAACAGTCAGAAGTAAAATCACAAAAACTTGACTTCAAGGAAAATTCAAAACGGAAAGTACATAATCAAATGGCAAAATTAAAAGTTCAAACACATCAAAGGAATGGATGTTTCTAACTTGGTACAGGCATTTTCTTATGTTTGTAGGAATTTGGCATGTTCTTATGTCGATAATGGTGAATTGAACCTTGGTTTAAAGCGCTTAACCTTTTACTTATATGACAGTCGCATCACATTCCATCATATGGACAACGATATGTGAACAAAACAAACAAAATCGATACACTACACTTCAAAACATAATATATGACAAGATTAAAAGGGTACAACATCACCACAAAATAATAATAATATGAACAAATGTTAAATATTTCGGAAAACAGATATCCTTCATCTGTATGATTATGATGTAAAATGAGTTGTGTGTCGGATTACACAGGTTGCACTGTACATGTATGTTTGAAAGGTTTTGTTCTTGTTTTTATGGTTCGTTTGTTAACTTTTTCGTGAAAACGGTTTTGATACAATAACCAAAAGGTAACGAATGAAATGATTGAATGGTGTATATTTGTGGTTTTGTCAACTTCGTTTAATCTTAAATATTGTGTTGTATCTTGACTGATGGTTAATTTATATATCATTTGTCTGTATTTCAATTACGTTAAGGGATATATCAACTACATGTTTGTTATGGATTGATTTTATGATATACATTGTACATGTATGTTTGAAAGGTTTTATTCTTGTTTTTATGGTTCGTTTGTTAGATTTTTTGTGAACACGGTTTTGATACAATAACCAAAAGGTGAAATGAATTTGATACTTTGAATGACTGTAACATGTGTAAGGTGTATATCTGTCTGACTGGTTACGTTTTACAGTGACCCCATCTTCATGGAGTGTTTTGCATTGTTAATTTTGATGGTGAGGTGCGTTTCCTATATACCTTTAGCATATTCTTACAATGTTGTGGTGTGTATAAGGGTTCTCAGGAATACATGCATGTCTGGCTAAAAGTAGAATCACAAAAATTTGAAATCCGAGGAAAATTTAACAAGGAAAGTCTCTAATCAAATGGCAAAATCGAAAGCTGAAACACAATAAACGAATGGATAACAACTGTCCTATTCCTGACTTGGTACAGACATTATCTTATGTAGAAAATGGTGGATTAAACCTGGTTTTATAGCTAGCTAAACCTCTCACTTGTATTACAGTTGCATCAAATTCCATTACTGTAGATTCATTTATTTTCGTGGGCACCAATTTTCGTGGATTGAGAAAACTACTGTAAATTCAAAAATTATTGCGGGCATTTATTATTGCGATTTTGTCATTTTAGACTTTAATGCGATTTTAATTTTTACGATTTTGAGAAAAATCCTGTTTCATATAAAATATTTTAAAATGCGAGTTTAAATTATTGCGTTAACAACTTTGTCGCATTTGTCGCAAAAATAAAAACCTCGCAATAATTTCTGAAATTACAGTATCATGTTCGTTGACATTAATGTTCGTGGTTTTGACGAAGACTACATAAGAGCCTATACAAAATTTGTCATTCGTTGAACTTTTAATTTCGTGTTTCACCTAAACCCACGAAATCCACGAAAATTGGTATCCAACGAATAATAATGAATTCACAGTATATTGAAAACGATGTGTGAACAAAACAAACAGACTTTAATAGGAAAACACATCAAAAATAGGGGTACAGCAGTCAACATTGTGTTATAATCTTAATCACTACAAAAACAAACAAATATGTAAAGAAGAATTGTTAATTTATAAATCATTTTGTCTTTATCTCCGATACGTTAAGGGATATGACAACTACATGTATTTTATGGAATGATTTTATGATATGCATGTATGTTTGAAAGGTTTTATTCTTGTTTTTAAAGTTCATTTGTTAATTTTTTGTGAAAACGGTTTTGATACAATAATCAAAAGGTAATTATATTTGATACTTTGAATGACTGTAAGGTGTATATCTGTCTGACATGCTACGTGTTACAGTGACTCCATCTGTACGGAGTGTTTTGCATTGTTAATTTTGATAATGAGGTGCGTTTCCAATATACTTTAAGCATATTCTTACAACTTTGTGGTGTGCATAAGGGTTCTCAGATAAACATGCATGTCTGGCAAGGTTCATCTGTCCTTGATCTTTTTTTGTAGTTCATGAATACAGTCTTTTTTGAGACAAAACCGTTAAACCTTTTACTGAAAAAAGTGTGCCTGGTTAGAAAAATCAATACCTGACTACCTGAGGTTATTGAACATACTGTATTATTCAAGTCGCACGGATTTCTTAAAAAATTTGAAACCCATAAATGATTTTTTTAAGGATTTTTGTTCATGAAACAATTCCTTTAATTCATACCCAATTTTAAATCATCAAACAAATGTTGCACCTTCATATTGTCAAGACTAAGCAATGACAATCTGAATCAGGCTATACGAATAGTGCATGCAGGAATGTGTGAATGTGCTGTTTTCAGACGATTTTACATCAGAAACTCGTCCTTACAACAACGGTACAGACAGACATAGAATTTTTGAAGACCTTTTATGACCAGATCAATATCTTGTGAAA